CAACATCTGCGATGATCCTTAGTTTGTTCATGAATTGTGGCACGCTCAAATCTCCAGTGGCCCCCGTTCGAAGTTCCGACGCTGCTTCACGACGGCGCCTAGGCCTCACAACATAGCTGATGCATGCCCCATTATCCGAGACAGGTGGCCGGCGACAGGAAGCGAAGTCCTTGCGGATTACATATATATATATATATATATATATGTATGTATGTGAATATACATAAACACTAGAAACCATCGCGCGCGCTTCGCGCGCGCTCAGGTTCTAGCTAGGGTCATGATCATCGTCATCATTGTCATCCTCATCCCCGCCATCTTCATCGTCATCGTCATGGTCATGGTCACTTTCACCATTACCATACCGTCACTATCACCATCGTTATCAACATCGTGATCACCATCGCTATCATCGTCATCGAACTTTTCAGCATCGTCATCCTCATCCTCAACATCTTGTTGGTGGTCGTCGGCGTCGTCGGCATAGTCATCGTCATAATCATCAGAGTCATCGCCGTCATCATCCCCGGTCCACTGCAATTCCGTTACCCTCCTCCTCTTCCCGTTCTCCCTCTTCCCATTATCTTATACTCATCCTTTTCCTCGTCGGCGTCTCCATGAAAGGGATCCCTGTTCCTTCACCTCCTCCTCCTCCTTCTCCTCCTCCTCCTCCTCCTCCCTGTCTTACCCGCTCTTCGGTGTGTCCTCTTCATCCTGCGCTCCCTTTCCCTCCTCGTCCTCAGCATCCATCCCCGAGACAGATCATCAGAGAACAGTCTAATCTTACAAGAACAATTCCCCTCCTTCTCTTCCCCCTCCTCTTCCCCGTCTTCGTCCTCCTGATATTCCTCCCCCTGCTCCTCCTCCTCCTCCTCCTCCTCCTCCCCCTCCTCCTCCTCCTCCTCCTCCTCCTCCTCCTATCCTCCTCCTCCTCCTCCTCCTCCTCCTCCTCTCCTCCTCCTCCTCCTCCCTCCTCCTCCTCCTCCTCCTCTCCTCCTCCTCCTCCTCCTCCTCTCTCCTCCTCCTCCTCCTCCTCCTCTCCTCCTCCTCCTCCTCCTCCTCTTCCTCCTCTCCTCCTCCTCCTCCTCCTCCTCCTCCTCCTCCTCCTCCTGTCTTCTCTCAACGCACCCAGTACACGGGTGCCTACTGGAACGCGTGCTGGGAGCCTTTTTTGGAAGCATTGTGGCAGTCTCTGGAGCCTCTCCGGGCCTTCCTTTGGAATCCTTTGGGGCCTTTGTTGGCCCGTCTGAGGGCCCATTTCGGCAGTTCCGGGTCCCGCTTGGCTCGTCGTGGGGAGCTCAGCCCGTCTTGGGGCCCCTCTCCGACCATGTAGGAATCCTCTGGTGGCCCCCTCGGGAGCTCTTCTGTGCCGCTCGAAGCTCTCTTCAGTCCGTCTTGGAACCCTCTTTGGGGCCTCTGGGGCCGTTTGGTGCCCATTTTGGTAACCTCTTGGGAAGTCGCGACCGCCGGTAGAACTGAAAAGCGAAGTTCCTAGAGATATGCATTTTTTTCCATCGGAAATGCTTGGTTTTCGCATTTGGAGGGCCCTTTTCAGCGGCCTCTTTAAAGTCGTGGAGGGGTCGTTTTGAGCCTTTTGTGGCCCGTCTGGGAGCCCATTTCGGCTGTCTCAAGCCCCTCTTGGCATGTCATGGGTCGCTGAACCGTCTTGGGGCCCTCTCCGACCATGTAGGGGTCCTCTGGTGGCTCCCTCGGGCCTCCTGGGGACTCTCTCGGACTGTTTTGGAGCTCTCTTGTGCTGCTCGACGCTCTCTTGAGGCTGTCTTGGAGCCCTCTCGGGGGCCTCGTGGACCGTGTGGCGCCGATTTGGGGAGCCTTTGGGGCCGACGTGGCCGGCGAGGAACATAAAAAGCGAGTATCATAAAAATACACGTTTGTCCCCGGGAAGTGCTCGTTTTTTGCACACGGGAACCTTCTCAACGGCTTCCTGGACCATCCTCAGGGAGTCCTGGTAGGCCTTTGTTGGACCCTGTGGGAGCCCAATTCGGCCGTTCTGGGTCCGTCTTCGCCCGTCAATGGGCACCTGAGCCCGTCTTGGGGCCCTCGGGGGGCCCTCTCCAACCATGTTGGGATCCTCCGGTGGCCCCTCGGGGTTCCTGGGTACTCTCTTGGGCCGTGTTGGAGCTTTCTTGTGCTACTTGAAGCTCTCTTCAAGCCGTCTGGGGGCCCTCTTGGGGGCCTCTTGGGCCGTCTGGGTTCATTTGGGGAGCCTCTGAGACCGTCGCGGCCGCTGGTAGGACTGAAAGGCGAATATCCCGGAAATATACGTTTTTTTTTCCAAAATGGGAAATGATAAATTTGCGCCCTTGGAGGGCCTTCGCGGCGGCCTCGTGGACCGTCTTGAATGCCATTGTGGCCTTGTGGCCGTCTAGGACCAGTCTTGGGCTGTCATCGAACGCTCGTGGCCCGTCCGGAAGCCATCTGAATGCGTCCTTCAGCCACCCTCCAGACAAAGTGGGACGCTTTGGGTGCGTCTTGGCCAGTTTGGGAGCCTTTGGGGGGGTCGGGGGCCCCTTCTGAACCCTCCTGAACCCTCAAGGCCCCCCCGGCCCCCCATACGAACCAGACGCAGCAGTTCTGGGCCCTCCCCCGGCCTACTCCGACATCTCTCTCTCTCTCTATATATATATGTGTATATACACTATATATACCTATGTATTGAGATGTATGTATATATATATATATATACACATACATGTATATACACATACATACCCATGTTTCGCGCCATCTGCTTTGTTACGGACGCTTTTCCGGCAAAGCAGTAAATCAACACTTGCTTCAGCAAGGGGGGCCTCGAGGTTTGGACGGGCGACCGGCTCATTTTTCTGATATCCCTGGTGCCTGCTGACACCGCGGTCGCCCGATACGCTTGCACGCTTGCGCGCAGGAGCGGGAAGGAAGACGGTTTTTTCACACGCGAAGGTCCTTTGAGGAACTAAGGAACGTTCCCATGACACGCCAAAGAAGTCACAATACCTTCGAACAAATCGACCTGTTGGTCGTTTCCTGATCTCTTGGGGGGCCCCATGCACTCAGGAAATTCTCGACCGTCGAACTTCGAACCTAGATCCACTGCCTGTCTCTCTCGATCGAGGACTTTAAAAATCAATCCTCAAGCGTGGAACCAAAATCGTCGGGTCAGCCCGATGTACATCGTAGGAAAACGCTGTCTGGGCGTTTTTGGTCCTCTTTTGGGCAGTCCTGGGGCCCTCTTGGGCCGTCCTGGGGCCTTTTTGGGCCGTCTTGAGGAGCTGGGGCCCTCCAGAAGTCAGCTGATGCCATCTTCTGGTGGTCTCCCATGGCTTTCGTCGTTCGTGGGTCTCTCCTGGGAGACTTCTGGGGGCATCTTGGGCTTCTTGTGGGCAGTGTCCGGGCTCTCTGGGTGGGGCAGTTTTTGGGCTCTCTTGGGCCGTCTTCAAACCCTCTGGAGGGCCTCTGGGGCCGTCTTGGGGCGATAATGGGGGCCCATCGGGCCGTCTTGGACGCTGCGAAGATCCAAGAAACGGATCTGCCAAACATATACGTTGTCCTACGGGAATGGGACGATGTTTGCTTCTTCGGGGCTCTCTTAACGGCCTCTTGGGGGCCTCTTGGGCCGTCTTCAGGACCATCGAGGTTCCTCCCGGAACGCTCTTGGGCTGTCTTGGCTCTCTCTTGCGCCTCTCCGATGACTCCTCCGATCGCCTCGACTGTGCTCGCAAGGCCCGCCAAGGCGCCCTGAGAGTCCTGGAAGGGCCAGCGGACCTTTTCCAAGGCCGTCCAGGGGGCCGCCGTCCAGGGCGTCTCTGGGAGGGGTCCGGTTTAGAGGGGAGGGGTCCGGTTTAGAGTACGTATGTACATCTTTTATATATACATATATATGTATACATATATGAATACAAAACTGCAATGGCGCTTCGCGCATGCGCCTTGTTCTGGACATTACCCGGCAAAGCAATAAATCATCGCTTGCTTCAGCAGGGGGGACCTCGAGGCCTGGACGGGCGACAGGCTCATTTTTCTGATATCCGTGGTGCCTGTCGCCGGTGTCTCCCATGGCTGTCGTGGGGGTCTCCCATGGCTTTCCTGGGTCTCTCTTGGGACGCCGCGCTGCCAGGCGGGAATTTATCCATATCCACCGGCGGGCGGTGGATATGGATCTATTTTGGCCCCCCGGGGCCCGAACATATCCACATCTGCCGCCTGTGGAGGTCCGCGAAAATCGACCCCCCAGGCGGTGGTTCTGGAAAGATCCCCACCGACTCGCCGCGCGGTGTGGCCACCTCGCCGTTGGGGAGGGGCGCCCACGATCCTTCGGGGATGGACAGACCCCCCTTTAGTAAAATGTGGTTTGGTGAAAACGACCTGAGGCCCAAACCTGGCCGGCGCAAGCCTGGAAAAAAAACGGCCACGGCGCCACCTCGAGAACCGAAAGCGGACCATTCACTAATCGACGTGTCACTGTTGGGGGCTCTGTCCAGCCCCGACTCCTCCGCGGCGCCCGAGGTGGCCTCGGGCGCCGGCGCCGCCGCCGGCAGGGCCCGGCACGCCGCGGCGAGCGCGGCCCCAGCCAGCGCGGCGGCGGCCAGCAGGGCCGGCAGGCAGCGCACCGCGCGGCGGCGCGCCGGGGGCGCTGCGCGCGGGCACGCGGCGGGGAGGGCGACGGGCCCATGGTCCACCACCACCACACAGGTAGGAGAGGGAGGAGGAGGAGGAGGAGGAGGAGGAGGAGGAGGAGGAGGAGGAGGAGGAGGGGGAGGGGGGAGGGGGAGGGGAGGGGAGGAGGAAGGAGGAGGAGGAGGAGGAGGAGGTGGAGGAGGAGGAGGAGGAGGAGGTGGAGGGAGGAGGAGGAGGAGGAGGAGGGGGAGGGGGGAGGAGGAGGAGGAGGAGAGGAGGAGAGGAGGAGGAGGAGGAGGAGGAGGAGGAGGAGGAGGAGGAGTTCCTCATCCTCCCCTCCCCCGTCCTGCGTGTGGTGGCGGTGGTGGACAATTCGCCCATCAGAGGGGCACGGCGGGCAGCGCGGCGGACTCGCGCAGCAGGCGGCGCATCTCGCCCTGCTCCTCGCGCGCGCGCCGCAGCTCCGCCTCCAGCGCGGAGTTCTCCTCCTCGAGCCGCCGCACGTCGAGCGCGCGGAGGCGCTCCTGCCGGAGCACCTGCACGGCCGCCTCGCGCACCTTGAGCTGGAGCGCCTCCTGCGTGGGGGAGATGCACAGATAAATACAGCCAGACCTAGGCCACAAGAACACTCCTCAAGAACATGGGACCCTCAGTCGGCCAAAACGCACAGAACATCCAGGGGTACCATCACCAGGCTGCATCATAACGTCCAACGAGCACGAAGAACACTAGGGTACCCTCCACGAACCGACCTCGATCTTATATCTCGGTCCGACAGTACGCAGCAACCCGCAGTCGCGGATGAGAGTGAGGGGGCGACGGAGACGTCTGCAGTCTGCCAGGCTCCGAAGAAGCCCGCCGCAGGCGCATGATCTTTGGAGCTTATGCCACGAGCCCGCCGCAGGCGCCGACGTTTCGTGAAAGCAATCTGGGTGGGTCGCGGGGTGGGTCGCGGGGGGGTCGCGGGTGGGTCGCGGGTGGGTCGCGGGCGGGTCGCGGGGTTGGTCGCGGGCGGGTCGCGGGCCGGGTCGCGGGGGGGACGACGCCAAACAACAACAACAAAAAAACAGCAACACAAGTAACAACAATAACAACAATAACAACCATACAAACGCCAACACCAACAACAACACCAACAACAGCAAACACAACAACACCAACAACAACAACAACAACAACCATATCAGCAACAACAACAACTTAACAACTTAACAGCAACAACATCATCAACAGCAGCAGCAACAACAACAACGACAGCAACAACAAACACAAACAACAAGAATTCGCATCGCGAAATCCCACTTCAACCACGCACCCAGGGACAATTAATGACCGTTCGGCCCCCTGACCCTGACACTCAAATCCCAGGATTCCCAATATGTTGTATATGTTCTGGGTTTCCGTCTTCCCCCTCCCACTTCCCGTATTTGCCCATCTTTTCCTGGGAGTCGACGATTCATCGTGTCTGTGTGTGTTTTTCCCATCCTGATCCTTCTCCAGGGTCATCTCCGCCAGCTCCTTGGCCAGCAGCGCCTTGGCCACTTCGGACGGCTCCTGGGCCACCTCGAGGTTAATCTGGGCCACGTTCCGCACCAGGCCGGCGCGCTTGCCGAACTCGAGCGTGCCCCGCGTCTCCTCGAGGTCCCTGTCGAGCGACGAGCAGGTGATGATCAGGCAGGTCTTCGAGCTGCCGCCGAAGCTGTCGGCCAGCAGCCTCGTGAGCATGGAGTCCCGGTAGGGCACGTGCCGGAGGCTGCCCCCCGCGGAGAGGCGCTGGATGACCAGCGCCAGCTGCGCCAGGGACTTGTTGATCGCGCAGGCCTCCCTGCGCTGGCAGAAGAAGGAGAAACGCCATCAGCATCAACTTGTGGCGCTCCGCACGGACTTCTTGGATTCACGCTGGGCCCCCCTCCCTGGCGCGCGGAGCGCGCCAGGGGCGGCGCCGGAGGCACCGCCCAGAGGGGGGGGGGCCCAGCGCGGAGTTAAGAAATCCGCGCGGAGCACCAAAAGGTTGTGCTTATGGCGTTTTCTCTTCTTCGAGCTGGGTGTTGAGCTCCCGCGGGCTCTTTGAGGGTGCCAGGAGGCTGCGGTCGCCGCCGTTCGAGGCCTGCGAGGCCATGGAGCGCTTCAGGCGCTCGCTCCCCGCCAGGTCCACCAGGTGCAGGCGCCCGCGCAGGGTGGCGCCCAGGGCCTCGTCCACCTTCGGTGGCAGCTCGTGGGAGCCTCACACACCATCTCTGTTGGCCCTCGCGGATCGACGCTGATCGACGCTGTGAATCGGCGCTACCTCATCGACTACCAGAGGCTCTCCACGAAGCCAATGCACTCTAAAGACGGAGGTACGAGGGTATACAAGGCTCCGATGATTTGCTACCGAATCCACCTGGCGGATTCCAGAAACCGCGAACCCAAAAGCGTCTTCATCACTTCATCTCTTGGGGGCGCGTTTTTCCACTTCCGCCACATTCCGCTGCCCTTCCGCCGCCTTCCGCCGGCGGAGGCGGCCTCGTTTTACTTCTGCCGACCTTCCGCCGCCTTCCGCCGAGGAAGAGATGGCAACTCCTTCGATCCTCGAAGGCAAGGCCCTTTTCTGGAACGCCTCGCCTGAGTCACGTCGAGCGTGAAGATGAGGTGCGAGCGGCTGCTGTTGTGGTTCATGTCCGTGCGCGCCGTCTCCCGGCGACCCAGGCCCTCGCCGAGGGACGCGAGGGCCTCCTCGGCCGAGCGCGCCGCCCGCCGGGTCGCTCCGGGGCACCGGAAACTGGAGGCGCCGGCGGGGTCCTGCACCTCGTGGACGTCGACCTGGCAGACGTCCTTCAGCGGACACCACAGCCCACCCCCATCCCCAGCCCGGGCCCGAAGAGGGCCCGAAGAGGGCCAGCGACGACCCCCGAGAGGGCCCCGAAGAAGTGCGTCGTGGTGCGCGTGGGGAGGAGGAATGGAGGAGAAGGAGAAGGAGGAGGAGGAGGAGGAGGAGGAGGAGGAGAAGGAGGAGGACGAGGAGGAGGAGGAGGAGGTCCCTCGAGGCCCCCCAGGTGTGGGCTCCGGGTAGAGAAGGGGGTCGGAGGACCGCCCCGCCTATCGCCAATATGCATCGGCGATGATATATCGGCGGCGCATATCGCCGACGCCTCGGCGACGCCTCGGCGGCGTCCGCGCGGAGACAATCGGCTTCCGCATCGAGCCGCATCGTCGATGATGCCTCGGCGATGCGGCGCGGTTCTCCGACCCCAGCTACTCCGACCCCATCTAGGGGGCCCAGGCACTCCCGACCTGGTGGTGCAAGGGGGTCCTGGCCGAAGGCGGGGGTGACAAGCTTGGGGGGCTCTTGGGGGCTCAAAGGCCACGCCTCCCCCCAGCCAGGACTCCCTGGATCACCAGGTCGGGAGTGGGGGTCCTGGCTGGGGGTGGGGGTGGGTTGTGCTGTCCTCGGTCCTGGCCGGGGGCCAGCAGATCCCGGGTCCGCTCGTTGTAGATCTCCAGCATGCAGACGTCGACCGACCAATGCTGCCTGGCTCGGAGGGCCTCGAATATCGCCGATACGGCACGCGGAATGGCGCCCCTGCGTTGGGCATCGCCGATGATGGTGTGCGTCTTCCCAGACCCGGTCTGTCCATAAGCCAAGACGGCTCCGTTGTACCCCCTGAGCACCGACGCGCACACGGGGGCCACCGCCACGCCGTACACCTCCTCCTGCGTCGCCTCTTGGCCGAAGGCCTGGTCGCACCAATAGATGGGGCCAACGCTCCCCGTGTCGCGGGCGTCGCCCCGACACCGCAGGCGCACGCAGTTCGCGCTCTCCACAGAGATGCACGCGTCGCTCCTAGGAGGAGCCTAGCAAATGCAAAAATATTATGTTCCGGAGGTCCGCGCGGATTCCCCCGCTGGATCCCCCCTCCCTGGGGCGCAGATCGCGCCAGGGGCGGCGCCGGAGGCCTCGCCAAGGGGGCCCAAAACGCTGATTCAAGAAATCCGCGCGGATCTCAGAGAAGTCATGCGCATGTGCACCCGAACATCCGGCGCTCCAATCATTTCGATGTGTGGACCCCAGGAGGTCTGGACAACTTCTGGTGTCTCATCCTGAACGTTTCTTGGACGGTCCCAGGGCCCGTTGAGGGCCCCCGGAGGCCGAAAATATGGTCGGACCTAGGACACAAGAACTTTCTTCAAGAACATGAGAGCCTCCGCCAGCCCAAACTGACGAACATCGAAGGGTGCGATCCCCAGGATGCACATGACAATCCAACAAACACGAAGAGCACTGGGGTACCCTCCGCGAGCCGATCCCGATCTCGTACCTCGGTCCGACTGCAGCCCACACCCGGCCGCTCCAACTTTTTCGGAGCCTCGGATCTCTGGGCGGCCCCTCGTACGGGGCTAGAACATATACACCACCACCACCTCCCTCGCCCCCTCCCTCTCCCACAGAGGGGGAGAGGAAGAGGAGGGAAGGGGAGGGAGGAGGAATGGAGGTGGTGGTGGTGTATATTCTTAGGGGCCCGCACTTTGCTGCTCTCCCAGCTCCGCGGCCCGGGGAGCAGCCGCACGCAGACCGCCACGTCGCCCTTCCCCGGCGCACCCAGGCCCCCGACGTCGTGACTTTTTCACAACGTCGACCCCCAGAGGTCTGGACCCCTTTCCCAAGAGAAGTTCTTCATCCCGGAGTCGTCTTTTGATGGTCCCGCGAGGCCCGGGAGAGGCCCCCCGGAGGCGGGAAATTGTGAACAAAACTCCCGTCGCGATTTTTTCACAACGCCAGGAGGTCTGGGTTCATCGGCGCAGGGAGCGCCGAGGCAGCGGCATCTCCCACAGCAGTCCCGCGCGCGGACCCCTCCAGGGGGGCCCGAGCGCGCCAGCTTCCCGGGCTGCGCGCCCAGCCGTGCCGACGAGGGGACCCCCCCCCCGAAGAGCAGCGAGACTGAGACGCGGTGTGAAGATGTTGGGGGCGCACGCTCCTCCTCCTCCTCCTCCTCCTCCTCCTCCTCCTCCTCCGCCTCCTCCTCCTCCTCCTCCTCCTCCTCCTCCTCCTCCTCCTCCTCCTCGTCTTCCTCCTCATCTTCCCCTCCTCCGCCTCCTCCTCCTCCTCCTCCTCATCCATCTCCTCCTCCTCCTCCTCCATTTCCTCCTCCTCCTCCTCATCTTCCTCCTCTTCCTCCTGTTCCTCCTCCTCGAATCTTGTAGCATCTCGCTTCCCGGGCGGCTGTGGCTAGACAACGCCCGCCACAGAACGTATACGCTGATACTTCTGAGCCTTCGCGTCGCCCTTGAGGGGGCCCGCGCGCACATAGTACAGGCATGTCTGGGCCCCTCCTCCTCGAGAGCGGGGGATTGCGGAGCCCGGGGTTCCAGAGAGCGCGCGCGAGGCTTTCACACTGAGTATTATGTGGCGCCCCTCCCCCTCCCCCTCCCCCTCCCCCTCCTCCTCCTCCTCCTCCTCCTCCTCCTCCTCCTCCTCCTCCTCCTCCTCCTCCTCCTCTTTTTTGTTCTTCTGTTATCCCCCCTCCCCCCACCCCCAGAAGAACAAAAACGGACCAGATGCGTTTCAGATTTTTTTGTCTGGGGGGGGATCGGCGGTGGAAAAAAAGAATGCGACGTGGTCTCATCTGCCCTCCCCCCTAAAAGGATTCCTATTGCACGCCCCCACAAGAAGGATTCATAGTGAAATCATCTACAGAAGGGTTCCGATCGAAACCCTCCACTGAATGATTCCTACTGGAAACCTCCACAGATGGATCCCTATTGAAATCACCCGCAGAAGGATTGATATTGAGATGATTCGAAAAAAATATCCTGGCGAAGGACCCAACCATATGCAGTTGTGAATGCCGCAATTGTGAATACCATCTTCGCCCGCGCTCCCTATGTGGCCACGGCTTCCCGCCGGAGCCCGACATGCTCAGGGACACGTTCGTGGCCGTCTTCGCGGGCGCCGACGACGACAAGGACGGCGTCCCTCTCACCGAGGAGCAGAAGCAGGAGAGGGCCTTGAGAGCCATGAGGGAGGAGGTGGCGTTGCACGTCGACAAGGCGGAGTACGACGCCCAGGCGCGGTTGTTGAAGCAGCACAACTATGGGGCCACGATCCTCGTGAGGGATGTGCCGCAATGGCCCGGGGCCGCCATGCGAACCCTGCCACTGGCGCCTTCGGTGGAGCTCCAGTGGGGCCACGATCCTCGTGAGGGGTGTGCCGAAATGGCCCGAGGCCGCCATGCGAACCCTGCCACTGGGGCCTTCGGTGGAGCTCCCATGGGGCCACGATCCTCGTGAGGGGTGTGCCGAAATGGCCCGAGGCCGCCATGCGAACCCTGCCACTGGAGCCTTCGGTGGAGCTCCCTATGGGGCCACGGTCCTCGTGAGGGGTGTGCCGAAATGGCACGAGGCCGCCATGCGAACCCTGCCACTGGGGGCCTTCGGTGGAGCTCCCTATGGGGCCACGATCCTCGTGAGGGGTGTGCCGAAATGGCCCGAGGCCGCCATGCGAACCCTGCCATTGGGGGCCTTCGGTGGAGCTCCCTATGGGGCCACGATCCTCGTGAGGGGTGTGTCGAAATGGCCCGAGGCCGCCATGCGAACCCTGCCTCTGGGGCCTTCGGTGGAGCTCCCTATGTGGCCACGATCCTCGTGAGGGGTGTGCCGAAATGGCCCGAGGCCGCCATGCGAACCCTGCCAATGGCGCCTTCGGTGGAGCTCCCTTTTGGGGCCACGATCCTCGTGAGGGGTGTGCCGAAATGGCCCGAGGCCGCCATGCGAACCCTGCCACTGGCGCCTTCGGTGGAGCTCCCTATGGGGCCACGATCCTCGTGAGGGGTGTGCCGAAATGGCCCGAGGCCGCCATGCGAACCCTGCCACTGGAGCCTTCGGTGGAGCTCCCTACGGGGCCACGATCCTCGTGAGGGGTGTGCCGATTTGGCCCGAGGCCGCCATGCGAACCCTGCCAGTGGGGCCTTCGGTGGCGCTCCCTATGGGGCTACGAAACGCTGTGCTGGGTGGGTGAAACGCAGGGATGAGGGAGAGGGGGGAGGGGGCAGCGGGAGGAGACGGGACCAGGGAGGAGAGAAGAGGGGGAGGAGGAGCGGGAGCGGCGGGAACGCGGGGCACCGTCTCTTCAAAACGAGGACCCAACACCACAGGATGGTTGGGAATAACCCCCCGTTGGCATTGCATTGGCATTGGTTTGGCAATGGTTTGGCATCGCATTGGTATTGCGTCGGCACTGCGCTTGGCAGTGCGTTGCTAGTGTGCTTGCATTTCGCAAGCACTGCGCTGGCGAGTCCTAATGGAACCCTCTACAGAAGGACTCCGATCGAAACCTTCTACAAGAAGGACTCCGATTGACAGCCTCCGCAAAAACGGTTCATGTTGACATCATCCACAGAAGGATTCCATGTGACACCCTCCACAGAAGGATTCCTATTGAAATCTACCACAAAGATTTTCACCATTGGCAGTGCGTTGGCATTGGATTGGGGTCGCTGTGGCATTGGTGTGGCATTGCGTTGGCACTGCTTTGGCATTGCGCTGGCAAATTCCAACACCTCCCTTCGCATAATGATTCCTGTTGAACCCCCCCACAAGAAGGACTTTCCCATTGAAGCATCCCACAAGAAGGGTTCACATTGAACTCCCTCACGGAAGGATTACATTCGAAGCCCTCCATAAAAATATTCTTCTTGAACCCGACCACAAACGACTTCCCCCACTGGCATTGCATTGGCATTGAATTGGGATCGCCCTGGCATTGGCTTGGCATTGCGTTGGTATTGCGTTGGCATTTCGCTGGCGAGTTCTAATGGCTCCCCCCACAGAAGGATTCCTATGACAACCTTGCTTGATAGTGAGATGATTCGAAAGAAAGACCCCCCCCCCCCGTTGGCAATGCATTGGCATTGGGTCTGATATGGTTTGGCATCGCATTGGCATTGCGCTGGCATTGCGCTTGGCAGTGCGTTGCTAGTGCGCTTGCAGTTCGCAAGCATTGCGCTGTCGAGTCCTAATGGAACCCTCCACAGAAGGACTCCGATCGAAATCTTCTACAAGAAATACTCCTGTTGACACTCTCCACAGAAGGATTCCATGCGAAACCCTCCACATAAGGATTCCTGTTGAAATCTACCAGAAAGGACTTCCCCCATTGGCAGTGCATTGGCATTGGGTTGGGATCAGTTTGGCATTGGTGCGGCATTGCGTTGGCACTGCGTTGGCATTGCGCTGGCATTGCGCCAGCGAGTTCCAACACCTCCCTTCGCCTAATGATTCCTGTTGGACCCCCCGCAAGAAGGATTCCGATTGAAGCATCCCATAAGAAGGGTTCACATTGAACTCTCTCACGGAAGGTTTCCACTCGAAGCCCTCCATAGAAGGCTTCTTATTGAACCCGACCACAAACGACTTCACCCATTGGCATGTGGCATTGTATTGGCATTGAATTGGGATCGCTTTGGCATTTGTTTGGCATTGCGTTGGCATTGCGTTGGCATTGCGCTGGCGAGTTCTAACGGCTCCCCCCCACATTTTTCGCATTTCGCATTTCGCAATCATAACAGCCTCCACGGCGCGCGCGCCGGCGACCCCCGACGCGCGTTCCGCGGACGCCGCGGCTCAGAGCTGCCCGGCGTGAGCAGGTCGGAGTCGCGCAGCCGACGGGGGACAGGAGGTGGCGTCACACACCCCTTCCCCCCCCTGCTGGTACCAGGGCAAGCAGGGGCAGGCCGCCCGCAACTAGTCGCTCCTCCCGCGGACACGGGAGGCGCCACTCGCCGGAGCTACGGGCCGCCTCACTATCTCCACAGACCTGCCGACGCCCGCTGCCCCCCCACCAGGAAGCCCCGCTTCCCCTGGCCATATGGCCAGGTGAAGCTGGCGGGCGACCCTGGGGACGACGAGTGGGCCCCCGCAGACGCCTCGGAGGGCGCGCCAGCGGACCAGGCGGTGCGCGAGCGGGCTGGGCACCGGGAGCCAAGCGACCTTACAGCGGGACGCCCGCGGTGAAACTGCGCACGAGGGGAGAGGGGGGGGCGCACGAGAGGGGGAGAGGGCCCCGCGAGCACCGCGGGCAGCCCCAAGCCCAAAAGGCATGGGAACGAACGAAACATGGCCCATCCCGACTGCGAGGTGGAAGGGCGCCTTGCTGCAAGCACAAGATCGCGAGAGCGGGAGGGGGGCAAGGACAAGGGGAAAGACAGACACAAAGTAACACGCGGAGGGATCCCCCCTCACCGGAGTAGCCGAGCGGCGCGCATCACGACTGCGAAGCACGGGAAGCGTCAGACCTGGCGGTGCTGCCGGGCGGTCCGAGCGGCAGCGGGATGCCCCGCCACCTACCCCGAGTCAGGAGAAGAGGAGGAAGAGGAGGAAGAGGACGACGAGGAGGAGAAGGAACACGGAGCACACCTGCGAATGGCTCTACCTGCAAAGCCCACGTGTTGGATGCGCGTGAGGGAGCACGTTGCGTCGCCGAACAAGAGCTGGAGCAGCAAATCTGGCGCCAGATCCCCTGGAAAAAGCTCCCGGCGTTCCCGGTCGAGCACGGGGCAAGCACTTAGCGCGTGACGCACCGAAACCCTGC